TTATGGAATAAAATGTCGACCAATGAAGAGGTAATAATAACTGTCAAGCTTTGGGGTGTTGATCGACTTTATCTACGTTTTGATTATCATTCTGAATCCAATTCATAGTCTTTTTTCAGCTTTTTGTTCAAAATGTTGTTTATTTCTTTATTTTTTATTGATGAAACTTATCCACATTGAAGTGTTTAAAAAAAGAATACATGAAGCTAGAATAAACTTTTTTTGTTTACAAGCAGATACCCTGTTCTTTTGATGTTTTGTATGTTCAGATATTCATGTAACAAAATATATACAAATTAATACCTAAATAGGGACATAGTAGTATACTTAAAGTATGATGTAAAGTTCACGTAAAGAAAACTTACGAGTATACTTGCAGTATAAAACTACTAAACTAGTAGTTTACTGAGACTATACTTCAGTGTACTAAAAATGCTACTACAAGTATTTAATTAGTAAACTATCAGTATACCTATAAGTTCACTTTTAGTATAGTTGCAGTACAAGCTAAATTTTTTTGATGTAAACTAGTTGTGTACTCAAAGTTTACTACTGTTATACTTAAAGTATACTTAAAACTATACTTTTATATACTAGAAAGTGGGCCAATTTAGTCCCAAGGAGTATTGAAATAGTACACTTACAAAGTATACTACTAGTACACTGATATTTGTATACTTACTATATAAAGTATACTTAAAAATATACTTGAACTTTACTTAAGTATACTTAAGTAACTTGAAGTATACTACTTTTTGGTAAGGGCTACCAGCATGGTCTTGTTTGATTTTTTTTTAGCTCATTACTTTGTACACATTTATGCAGCCAGTACTTAGCCTACATGGTCGATTTAATAAGTTACTTGTTTATTTCTAAGTTTAAATTACTGAAATAGAAGACAATGAAATAGAAATAGGCTAGCAATGTCAAGGAGTTCTTTAAGGGAAGTACATTAGTACATTAACCCTTTAAACCCGGCGGGACAGCTCCCGCAAGAAAAAAAATCATAATGGAATAACACAAAATAGATATCATTTTAAAGCTTAGAATCTCCGCCCTCCCCCCTCCGCGAAAATATTACTAATCATATTTTTCAAACCACTGCCTTGATCAACAACAAATGGATATCATTCGAAAAGCGAACAGGTAACAAATTTCTATTTGGATATTTTAGATCAGTTGTAGGCTCTGTGTCTCACCTGGTTGCCCGTTGATGGCAACATTGCTCAAAAAGTTGCCCAGTGTATCATCAGCCTCACAAATGCTTATGCTTAATCTAAAACAGCATTACCATATAAAACTCTGCTGCAACTTAAATAACCACAAACATTTAGATATTTAAATGTTGAAAAATTACAAATGTGTCACGTTGCACACACACGAGGGACGAGGAGACGCTGGAGAATATGTTGACAAGACTTTATTTACAGGAACCAAGGGAGACGAACTCAGGAAGACGTTTACATGAAGACGTTCAACAGCGGACAGAGAACTAGGGACTGGGAACACTTTAAATACACACAGGAGGAGGGGATG